CCAGATAAAATTGTAAAATGGGTAAAAAAGATAAAGTATAATTAATTGAAGCTAAATTAATATAGATAAATTATTTCCCACATTTTTTTAATACTGGATTTTGAAAATTTTGGCTTTGGCTGAGAAAACTCAACTATGCTAAATTTATAATATGAAAGAAACAAAGGTTTGTATAAAAATAAATTTTATTATTGAGGTTCAAACAAGTGGTTATATTATATCCAAGTACTCAATTCAATAATCCATGCTACTTTCAATAGCAAAGTTGTTATAAATGCAGTAAAACACTAAAACTAACAATTATTTCAATCATTATCATTTTATCAATTTTGTTATATATGCACACCCATATTATCATAAACAATTCCACCATTTTAGTAACAATCTTTTACATCTCGATAACTCGATTGGAATCCAACCCTGAAATTAAATTTCGGTTTAGGGTCAACCTGTTTGAGAAACGGGTTGGCTTCGGGTTCAACAAACCGACACGTTTCAAAAATCAGATTGGGTTCGTATTGATCGAGAATTATCTGCGTTGTCGGTCTGCCCGCATCGTTGTGGCTTTGAGTCGCGTGTCACTTCGCGTAAGTTACGTCTCGCTGACGAGTGATGATGTTGTTGCTGCCGCCACTGGCGGCATTGACGTGTCCGCGGGTCAGGTCGGATCAAACCGGTAACCAGTGCGGGTCGGTTCAGGTTGAAATACATGACCCGTCGGGTCAGGTCCAGGTCAGGTTAACAAGTGTTGGGCTTATTCCGAGTCCAACCGTACCCAACCCGTGACCCAATTTTGACAGCCCTAACTACAGAACTTTTATTTGGTCCGGTGAACGTACGCAACTCTACGTTTGGCCGCCAGTAGAATCGTGCCACGCGTTTTCATTATTTACCACGCGCCCCGACAACCCGACCTTGAATGGATCCAAGATTGCTTGGTATTGCTCGGTATTGCTAGGTATTGGTCGATTTTGCTCGCCAATAATCAATACCGAGCGATACCGAGCAAATAACTAGCAATACCGAGTAAATACCGAGTTGTACGGAGTTTTTTCTAGCAATACCGAGCAAATACCTAGCAATATCGTGCAAATCCCTAAAATACCGAGCAAATCCCGAGCAAATACTGGGTTGTAAAAAAACTCGGTACAACTCGGTATTTGCATGGTATTGATCTTCACAGAGCGATATTTCTCATTTTTGCAAAGCAATACCTAGCAAATACCGAGAAAGAGTAAGAGCACGTGACGACATGTTATTGGCGGCCGAACGTAGCTCTACGCCCGATCAGAGGACGTAATAATTGTTATTCCAAGTTCAACCGTACCCAACCCGTGACCCAATTTTGACAACCCTAACTACAAGTGTCACATTAGGAAAACTTTCATTGATATGATTAGCTTTATATATCAACTATAACAAAACTAGGGATGAACTACAGACATAACACTTAAAACTTGCATATTTACAAAACTAACACCAATGTATTTTTTTTTTTCAACTATCAACTCATGTATTAGAAATTCAACAAAAGCGAGAAATAATGGATTTTGCTATGATTTTTTTGATATTTGAGCTAGAATTTTAAAAAAAATAAATATAAGAATATGTTGATTTTATAATTAGTCAATATTTAAATATAATATATTAATAATTATCCTCAACTAAGAATATTCATAAACCACCATGACTTTAATCTCATGCACTTAATTGCGCGCAACTCTTAGCTTGATGTTGAATTATGCCGACTCTTAGAAGTCTTAAGAGTTGTTTGCTTCTCAAACAAAGCTACTTAACGCAATTCACTTCAAGCTTTGTCAAAGCATTCGGCCAAGCTAACTGCCTGCCTTTGGCAAATTAAGTAAAATTAGTTTATTGCAGGCAAGTCCTAATTGCAGTTTTAGGAAGCCTAGCAAGATAAAGAAGGCTTAGGCTAAAATTAAAATTTTTATAATAAAAAGTTACTTTATGAAATAGTAGAAAAACCGTCCCAAACGAAATCTTAGACTTCGGCTTCGTTTGGGACGGCTTTTTTACTGCTTCTTGAAGCAGCTTTCTAGTACAAAAATTTTAATTTTTATACTAAAAAGCTGCTTCAAGAAGCAATAAAAAAGCCAATCCAAATAAAGTCTTCATTTGGGATAACTTTCTTACTGCTTTTTAAAGTAGTTTTTTAGCACAAAATTTGTGGTTCAAGATTAAATTCGATTGATAAAGTGATCAAATCTATTTTTAATTTAAAATTTATTTATGTTAATTTATTACTATTATTTGTACATGGGTGTTTTTATAGTTATTTAATGTAATTCTATGTACAATATCCTTTCTATAAATTCTATAAGGGAGTTAGATTTTTTTTTTAATAGGAGGATATAAATAAAATTATCAGTATTGTTATTATTAATATTAAATAGTCAAGACTTATTGATATACATTTATTATTGCTAAAGACATATTGAAAGGCATGAGGGATTACATTTATTATAGCTAGAGATATATTTGAAGGCTTGAAGGGATAATTCACTCACCCTTTAATTTTATTCAATGATGTGTGGTATAAACTTTATGAGACAATTCAAGTTAAATGATAACAATGTTTATAATAGCTCGAATTAAAGTTTTTTTTTTTGAATTTATTTGGGATAATTTTTTCCTGCTTTGCTTTTCAGACAACCACAATAATTTTAGTTGATTATTATTTTCTTACTACTTTCTTGCAGTCTTTTACAACTTTCAGTGGTAGAAATAGAGTAATCAAGGCTTCGTTTGGGGTAGGTTTTTTACTTCTTTGCTTTTCAAACCATGCTCACAATGACCGTTATTTTTTCATCGCTTTCAATAAATTTGAGTTAGGAAGCTGCTTTCTACAACAGTTTAGAGAAATCTTCTTTCTCTACAACAGCTTTACAATCACATTTATGAAAAACTTCAACCTTTCCAAACGGATCGGAAGTTATTTTTACAACAACAAACTTCACAATCAACTTTATAAAATGCTTCAACCGTGACAAATATATCCTTAAAGAAAGCTCTCTATAATTAGTGGTAGAGTTAAACATTTTTTTCAAATGAGGCCATACAAATTAAGAGTTTGTTTGGAATAATTTTCTTACTGATTTGCTTTTCAAATCGCAACCACAATTTTGTTTGCCTATTTCTTTCTTGTTGTTTTTATAAAAAATTTGTTCTAAGAAGCTACATTTTACAACATTCCTAAAAAAAAAAAATCTCCACAACTGTTTTACGATTACATTTACAAAAAACAATAGCAATCCTAAACAAACTTAAAATTTATTATTTAGAAAAGTCATAATATTCAAATTTTATTTAATACATATTTATTATATATGAATACATATTCAAAAATATGAGTAGTACTACTGATTCACTAATCTTTTCATTCTACTAAATCATGCAAGCTATAAACTTTATGACTCAATTCAAAATCAAATCAATTTTTTTTTTTTTATAAAAAACTACAGAGAGGCCTAGGCATTAATTAGAAAAGAGATTATAAAACCTTAAGAAATCATCAGCTCTCTAATTCAAAATCAAATCAAATTAGCATCTCTAATAGCTCTAATTAGAAATTTTGACTAAAGGCTATCAAATATGTTCAACAAAGCAATGATAAATTTCTTTTTATAATCCCAAATTTTTCATATAAATCTAAATTCAATACTCTATGATATCTTAAACAGCTAGATATATGACCATCCCATCCTTATTTCTATTTTAATTTGGATAACCATTCATGTCAACATCATAATTTCAACAAAGTTGTGAATTCTCTTTCAAGGATAAGATTTTGTACACATGCACATGTGTTCATGCAAAGGACCCCCATGTGTTTACCCATTATTTAAATCATATAAATATATTTTTTGTTTATATAAAAATATTTCAATATATGTGGGGGACATCTTCTCCTTTTGGAACCAATAATTGAATATCATGCATAGTACATATGAATTGATTGGGTGGTCCAAATATCTATGAATGGTACATGCAAAAAAAATAATGTTTCAACTAATGACTTTGATATGGGGTAGATAAGAGCATTTATACTATACATGATGGTGATATTATTGAATTTAATTAAAAAAATTAAAATATTTTGTTTTATTAAATATAATATATAAATATTTGATATTTTAATAAAAATAATTTAAAATTCTTTATTTATGATTAAATAATTTGATATAATTTCTAGAAATAGTTTCATGAATTATCTTCATTTAGACATTGCACATAAAATGCCTATCTTGAGAGAAGGTGTACCTAACCTCACCTTCCTTATGGATGTCATCCTCCCAAAATCTTGCCCACTGTCACATGCATTCAATGCAACTGGCCATCATTATTTTTTTTTTAATTCAAATTTATTTGTTTATTAAATTAGTGCTTTTTAACTCAAATATTTTAATTTTTTGGACTTCATTTGGGACGGCTTTCTTACTGGTTCTTAAATTCTTTTACACTAAAGAGCTGCATCTTAAAAATTTTTGTACAAAAAAATTACTAACCAGTAAGAAAATAATCCCAAAAGAAGCCTAAATGAGGGCAAACTAAATTGGCCATAGCCAAACAATCTATGTACTAGTTTAATATTTTTCTTTTTCTTTTTTTAATTTTTTAATGTTTAGGAATTAAGTATATAACTAATAATAATTTATTCGGTACATAAATTTTGAGTCGGTTCTCAGTAACCTCAAATACGCATTGGAAATTATGCCAATATATTTTAATATATTTAGAAGAAAATATCCATAAAAAATACTATTTAATATTTTTTTAAAATTAATCTTTTTGGCTGGGTAGGCCCAAATATTTGGTGTGCTTATATAAAGCCTGCATTCGAGAACTGGATCAATATAATTAACAGAAATATTTTTTCTTTAAAAATTCCAGCAATAAATGAAAAAACCAACAATCCAAAAAAAAAATCATCCAGTTATAAAAAAAACCCAAATAATCATATATAAATTTATATATTAATATATATCAATATAGGCCAATGATTATACAAATTAGAAGAAAAAAAATCACATTAGCACATTAATTACCTACACTAAACTAACCTCCCCCTCTCTATCCGTGAAAATTATTGTGTCCGGTCACCGAATGTCCGGACATCCAATCCGGTGACACCACGTCACCCAAATACACTCGTTCCGATGTATTTGGGTGACGTGACGACACCGGATTAATGACAGGACTAATCCAGACACCGGACGCAATAATTTGCCCTCCCACCCTAAAACAAAAGATTAAGATCTTAATTTGTACTAATGATCTGACAAATTATACAATAAGGGGCTCACCTGCTCCTTAATCTGTGATTACTGGCACTAATTATTCACATTACTGGCCTGCTTCAGCTCTCACGAAGGAAAAGAAATGCTCCAAATGAGAACCAGATTGATTACCTCATCTGAATTCCAGCAACCCTAAAACAAAAGATTAAGATCTTAATTTGTACTAATGATCTGACAAATTATACAATAAGGGGCTCACCTGCTCCTTAATCTGTGATTACTGGCACTAATTATTCACATTACTGGCCTGCTTCAGCTCTCAAGAAGGAAAAGAAATGCTCCAAATGAGAACCAGATTGATTACCTCATCTGAATTCCAGCAACCCGTTTGTAAAGCAAAGGCCATACTCTTCTTCCGAATCCTGTAAAGGAGGGCTTATGCAGAGCTCCAGATTCAAGTCAGGACACCTCCACCGCTTCGGCTCTTCGCTGTTGCTTCTGCTGTTACTACTGCTATTACTGCTCTTATTCTCCTCCTCCCTTCTCATAAAGCTCACAACTTTCTCCACCTCCGTCGCAAAGGATGCGTCCGCTTGCCCGTGAAGAGGGCGGTGCGTCGTCGGATCTATCCCCCTGCTCAACAATTTCCGACGAATATGGGTGTTCCAGTAGTTCTTGATCTCGTTGTCCGTCCTCCCCTGTAACCTCCCCGCTATCAACGACCATCTGAAACAACAATTACAGAGATCATCATCAGATATCCAAATCCATCAGAATAGTAGCAACAGCAACAACTTACTTATTTCCAAGTAAGCTATGAAGCTTGATGATGAGCTCGTCTTCCTCCTCGGTAAAGTTCCCCCGCTTAAGATCAGGGCGGAGGTAATTGATCCATCGAAGCCGGCAACTCTTCCCACAACGAAGGAGGCCCGCCGCCTTAGGCAGCGACCGCCAACAGCCCTCCCCGTGGACCTTGATGTGAGCGACGAGGCGCTCATCTTCCTCCTTAGTCCAGGCCCCTTTGTTGGTGTGAGCTTTCTCACAACAAGGAGATCTCCCCATGGCCTCTGCTTTTACTTCTTCTACCTTTCCTGAAAGAACTTGTTCATGGCAGTTGAGAAAGGTGGAGCTGAGTTATATAGATAAGCGTTTAGATATGAGTGAAAGGAGAGAAGGGAGAGAGGAGAAGGGTGAAATTTGTGTCTTCTAGAAGTGAGTTGGTGGAAAGCCTTTATTTTAGCTGCCAAATGCCAATGGCATCAAATTTTTTACTAATGTCACTAATTTATAGATGGCAGGACCACATCCATGGAGATATTTGTAAGGCTTTGGTGGGCATGGAAGTAAATAGATGGTTATTGATAAGTGAGATCTGGTTCAGGAGTTATATGATTATGAGATTAAATGGCTGTGAATATTTTTATTAGGTCGGCCGGTGTACTAACGTAGCTCTACGTTCGGACGTTAGTAAAATGGTGCCACGTGCTCTTACTCTTTACCGCGCGGCCCGACGACAGGACCCGGACCGGACCCAGGATTGCTATGTATTGACTGATTTATGCAGACCGGGGTATTGCTAGGTATTGCTCGATATTGCTCGACAATAATGAGAAATACCATTATGTCAAGATTAATACCTAGCAATACCGATCAATACCCCGGTTTTGCTAGATATTGCTCGGTATTGTTAGGTATTGCTCGGTATTGTTAGGTATTGGTCTTGATAGAGCGGTATTTCTCGTTATTGTCAAGCAATACATAGCAATACCGAACAATACATAGCAATACCCGAACATAGCAATACTGGATTCCGGTCCGGATCAGGTCGTCGGGCCGTGCGGTAAAGAGTCAGAGCACGTGAAGACATGTTATTGGTCTCCGGATGTAGAGCTACGTCCGGTGTCCGGACCTAATAATTGTTCGTGAATAAGGGTGTAAATGAGTCGAATTGAGCTCAAGTCAGTTCTCATTTGAGCTTGAGCTTGATTAATTAATCAATTTCGTTTTCGAGCTCAAGCTCGAGCTTTATTCTGATAGTACAAGCTTGCTCATGAGCCGACTTATTTATTATGTAAGAGAGAAAATGATTATGATTCAAAGCAATTATTATAACAAAATAATAAAAAGAATGAGAAATTACAAGAAAAATAATAAATTACTTAATATAAGAAAGTGAGATATAATTTTAAGTATTTTTAAAACTTTATAATTGAAATTCTGAATCATGATATATTTTAAAATATTTTGTATTAATATTTGTTAAAATAGTTGACTCGCGAGCTAACGAGTCGAGTTGGGGCTGGCTAAAGTTTGGCTCGTTAGTTCATTGAGCTCGGCTCACGAGCCACTTATCTAGTTGAGGTTGAGCAGGCTCACAAGTCGGCTTGACTGATTTACACCCCTAGTTGTGAAAGATGTTGTCTTTATAATATAGAAGATAAAATCATTATATGATCACAATGAATCAATAGGTAATTTTTAAATTAATTTGTATGCTTATAAAAATATGGAAGGAAGGAGAAAATTAAAGTGGTGTGTAATGATTGTTTTTGGAGAAATTGGACTTCAGCATATTTATAAATATAATTTAAATAAGAATGAAAATTAAAGAGTAAAAAATATATTAAAAATTTATTTAATTCAATTTAAAATTAGTGAAATATATTTTCATTATAAGCAGCACTAATTTCAATAGAGATTTAATAATTTTTAAATTTATATTGATACAATTTTTCTTTAATAAATATTTAAATTTTAAAGTCAAAATATTAATATGAGCTTTTGTGAAGTGATCATATAAAGATGCTGATAAAAAATATAAAAAAATAAAGCATACTTTCAAGAAAAGAATATCTGAATGCTTCTGAATTTTATTGGAGTTAGAGATTGTGATACCATTGAATTGGAAAAAATGAGATCAAGTTGGGTATAGTCTTTTTTTTTTTATAATTATTTTATATGATGATGTCATATGCTTATCTTTCACATGGAAGAAAATGAGAATTTCAACTAAGATCTCATTTGATAATATTTTTTTAATGGCTATGTTATATTATTTAAAACAATGATTTAAAAATTTTAAATAATGATTTAATTTTTGTCAACATCATGCACTCCCAATTAATTAGGGTTTAGGATTCAAAGTATCACAATTGTTCATGTTCTATTGATGAGAAAGTAGAAGCAATCATATTGAAAATTAAAAATAGGGGCTTCTTCTGAGATGGCTTTATTATTATTTTTAAAGTAGTTTTTTAGTACTATAAAATTAAAAATTTTGTATTAAAAATTACTTTAAAAATAGTTGGAAAGCTGTCACAAATGAAGTCTAAATTTCTAGCCTTTTAATAGAATTTGTTGTTGTACTTTTTTAAAACAAGTAAAATTTTCATTTAAGTAAAAATTATAAAAAAAAAAAAGAAGAAAGATGTTATAAGGACACACATATAGATTAAAGTGGAGGATGATGAAATTAATCAAAATAGATTTATTATTTTGAAGATTATATCTATCCTAATGCTTAGAAGACGATCTGGTGGGTCTCAAAGATTGGAGAAACTATTATGTGCGGATATCGGATGGTACAGAGACTAATCAGAACGTGCCATGTCACCCGCTCGATATCGGGCGATGTGACGCATTCTGGTTGGTCCCTAGACACCGTCCGGCGCCCACACAGAACAAATTTTCCAAAGATTGATGTTATTTCCTGTTTTTATCCATATAATATTAGTTAATAGAGTTTGTTGTTTTAGCTCTTACTCTTCAATAAAGATGGCAAAAGGTTGTGAAATTATTCTGTGTGGATGACGAACGCCATCCAGAACTCAATGAAAATGCACCACATCACCATACCGCGGCTCAGTACCAAGCTCGATACTACTCAGTACACTACAGGAAAATAAATAATTACCGGTGGTCATTTCGGCAGTTTAACCGATTGTATGACCGTCAGTATTAACCGGCGATTTACACAGCGGTGTTTAATAATACAACGCCAGAAATACCAATGGTATAATAACCCCCGGGTAGACTGTCAATTTTCTATTTTCACAGCGTCGTATCTGGCGGCCAAGCCGTAGGTGTTAAGTAATTTTTTTTCGACGGTCTAAGCCGCCAGAGAACCACCAGAAATTGACCTAATATTCGCCAAATCGACCCTTCCTCCTCATTTGCTCGCATAACGGTTTCCTACAGATGCTCACGCTCGAGCTTGCCTCAGCAGGAATCCGGACGTCGGCACCTTAACTCCGCCGACGATCACAACCTCACTCCGGCCGTCGATCACGCTTGCACTCTACCGTCGAAACCCGTTGAGCACTTAGACAACGCCCTGAAGGTTTGAATTTTTTCCCTTACTAAACTTTTTAATGTTAATGTGTCATACTTTAAAATTGTGGGGGAAAGTTATTGATCATAGGTTGCAGCGTGATGCTAATATTTCACAAAATCTGTTTGGATTCATGCAAGGTAGGTCTACTATGGAGCTATGCATTTTTTATAGTGTGTTTGAGCTATGTATGAGATACATAGTGGGAGAGAGTTATGTAGCATAGGTTGCAGCGTAATGCTAATGTTTCGCAAAATCAGTTTAGATTCATGCAAGGTAGGTCTACTATGGAAGCCATGCATTTTTTAGCGTATTTGATGGAGAAGTATATAGAGATAAGGAGGATCTACACATGATATTTATTGATTTAGAGAAAGTATATGATAGAGTTTCAAGAGAAGTGGTATGGAGAGTTATAGAAAAGGAACGGTTTAATAATGCTTATGTTTAAGTCGTTAAGGATATGTATGCAAGAGTTATTACTTGTGTTATGACAGAAGGTGGGTTGACCAAATATTTTTCTACTTTAGTTGGATTACGTTAAAGATCGGCCTTAAGTCCATATCTTTTTGTTTTAGTCATGGATGTTCTCACTAGAAATTTGCAAGAGGTTGTATCCTTGTGTTGAAGATATTCTTCTTGTTGAATATATTAGATCTATTATTAAGAGTATATATTTTAAATATAATGGGTCTATTATTTTGAGTGATGGTGAAATAGATATGGTTATATCTTCTAATAATTGATTTCATAACTATTTAATGAACGTTTGCTTTAACATCTAAATGATTATACAAGATGAGAGATATTAGATATATAACAGATTGTTATTGGGTCGAATAGCATTGACAGATGAATATATTCAGGGAATTGAGACTTTTATTCAAGTTGTATCACAACTACCTTTCTTTAAATTCGATGGAATGTTTACATATACATGTTCGAAGAACAAAAATCAAGCATTTCTCAAGCCCGATGATGTAAATATTTATTTATATCGTAGGGGATTTGTTCCAAACTACTGGATTTGAATCTCATATGACGAGTACGAGCCACACTAGCGCATTTAGTCGCCGTAAATTTTGATATCGAATGCTTATTTTTACTGCTAGAATTTTAATAAAGCAATCGGTACATACCGACTGTTTATCCACGATCAACTGGCAGTAAACCGGCGGCTGGACCGCTGGCAAAACTGGTGTTTGAGATTGCTGGCATGCCGCCAGTAATTAACTGGCAGTCGTCAGCGCTATGACCGTCGGCCGCAAAAAAAGATCAACACAAGAATAATCAATTTACGTGGTTTGAATTCTTCAGAACTCTACATCCATGAAGCGATCTTGATCTTAATCCTTTTATTAATATGTGAAGGCAAAAACCCTAAATATTAGCAACAAGTTAAAAACAAGAAAAGAGATCTTTAATCTTAGCGAAAACCTTTCTCAAATAACTATGTAAAGAAGGATTATACCTGCGATTCAAGCCTACAACTACTTGCAAAGAATAAAAACCCGACGAAGGCCATTCGAGCAAGAACACGAGCAAATCAAGTAAACCTCTCATTCTAGCAAACCCCTAATTAATAGTGAGAGACAAGATCAAACCCTTCTTACCTATATAATGAATTAAAAGACTACCTTAACTATAATTAATTATCTTAATTAATCACAATTAATGAAAGAAGAAAAATCATAATTTTAAATTAGTTGGTGTATTAATTTGAGTAATTAAATGTGATGATTGAGATTGCACAATTTTTATGTCCAATTTCCCAATAATTGGAATCCCCAACAACTGACATTCACAATAATTTATACAAAAAAATCACCAGGTTTTAAGGGAGTCGAAGACATTTTAGGTTCATATTCTACTAATTAATAAGTTGTTAGTCTTTAAATATGAAAAAGTTGGC